CCCCAAGTTCAGGCCTTTACGTGACTTTTGGATGCTAGAAGGCCAGATCTATGAGTTAGATTCTAGATCTAACCTTAGGAGACCATATGAGTGATGCAATGGAGACGACTCGCTGAGTCTAGGAGATGACTCGACGAGTCGGATCAGGTTCGACCCTGTACCATGGAACCAAAGACAACTCGTTGAGTTGGGGGTCAACTCGATGAGCTGAGTGAATCTCGGTGAGAACAGTATGAAATACGATTGGACTCGGCGAGTCACATGGGTGAACTCGACAAGCCAGGTCAATCTAGTCTGTTGACTTCGTGTGTGGGTCAGTTAGGTACTTTTGGGAAATCTAGAGGGGTAAAAGGGTCTTTTACCCTTCCCAAGGGTTAGGGAATGAGCAAAGAGGGTTATAGTTGGAAAGAGTAAAAATGTGTTATTAATTTAGATGTTCGTTTAATGTGTTAGGTGAACGGTAGTTTGGATTATCAAGTGTGTATCTATTTCCTACTAGTCGCGAGGTGAGTCTTCTCACTATACTTACCTTGAGTGGTAATCTACGTGTGACCAGAGGGTCTTATGTGCATACTCTATGTTTAAGATACCATGTTATTTGTATTGTGATATTCTATTATTGCTTGTGATATGTATGCTATGTTTATTTGAGTATTGAATATAGGGATCAGAGGATCCAACCTGAGTTATGGGACCGGTGGGTCCCACTGAGTCACATTGACCAGAGAGTCTTATTGAGTTACAGCCTCGTGTGGTTAATGAGTTGTGCGTGGTATTTTGGGGAACTTACTAAGCATTTATGCTTACCGTGTTATGTGTTATGTGTTTCAGGTACTTCTGAGGACCACGGTAAGGTACCGACATGATTGTACACCTGAATCAAGAGGAAGTGATGATCTGGAATTTTGAATAAATGTTTTGAGAATTTTAGTGGATAATTGTTACTTGAGATTTTTGGAAATATGCGATACGTGTTTTATATTAATTTAAAAATGAAAAATTTGGTTGGAAAGTTTACGTTGTTACACTAATGGGCCTAAATTAAGTGATTTCGCACCTTAAGACCCAACCGAGAAGGATCTTCGGTAAACAAAGTGATTTTGGTCAAGGTTCTCGGTCCTAAGGTGGGGTCTCGCAGGGGGTGTTCGGCCGAAGGGTGATTTCGGTTTTGGGTGAGTTTTGATTCCATTTACTGAAAACAGATAAATAAATATAAATTTTCATTATTAAATCAAATGATTTTTAATTATTTACCCATCGTTTGACTTAATTGACTTGTTTTGATTTTTGGTTTGACTATCTTTGACTTTTATTGACCCAAAATAACCGGTTATTACACCCAATGTAGGGGAGAACTGGTTATGTATGGAGAAGGCACCAGGATGGGTTCAGGGTTGTGTTTTTCACCCATGTAAAGATCCGAAAATCCTTATGTTAATGTCGTTAGCTTTCCATTACCCAAAGAATGTTTATGTGAAGGATTTTAGGTTATGAGCTTAAAATAGAATAAATTAAATAAAAAAAGATATTAATTAAAATCTAAAAGAAGTAATTTCATTTAGTGGGTGTATAATTTAATTAAATAGTTTTGTGGAAAACTAAGTTACATAATATAATTACATGTGTTTATTGGATTTTAGATTGAACATAATTCGTTTAATTGGTAAAAGATGTTGAGGGGCTAAATTATGGTAAAAAAATAGAACTTTAAATGTTATTTTATTAGGGTTAGGGGTGTGTGGGATTTACCAATAATACTTGAGGGACAAATTACTAAAAATCAATGATAACTCCCGAAGATTAATATATGTATTAATATGTTATAATAAAATTCGTCCGTTTTTCGTATATGCGTGCAATTTTGGAGTGCATCCTAATCAATTGTGTGTGTCGTTTCTTTCTAGTGAGTATCTATTAGAAAAACCAATCAAGATGTGATTGTCGAATACAAAGAGGAAGCATAAAGAAAGAAAAAAAATCAGTTTGATTCCTTCCCCTGAGTTTATACGTGGAACAAAGAAAGCGATTCCAACAGTTTTGGCCTTATGGTTATAATCGACAATCACTAGGAAGGAGAAGAAAAAATCATGAAGAGGAGGGAGGAGGACTGATCACGAGGCTCTGTAGTGAGAGAGGTGGATGGGTTTGTGATGCAGATTTCAATTGAGGTTGAAATTTTATCAACAATCTTGGTAACTTCTTGATTCTTCATTCCTCATGTAATTTTAATTTAATTTATAATGTGTTGGTCGAAATCTTGGGTTATTTGTCATCTCTTTGGTGTTAGTGATCACACCTTCTTTCTCCTTACAATCTTTGAATATTCATATGTTTAGTTCTAGTTATGTTGGGTGTATTTTGATGGTTTATTGCTATCAAAACTTGGTTATAAACACCCTTAAGAATTCTTAATTCGTGTTCATGTATTACTCCATGTTTTGGAGACCTTGTTTTCTTTGTTGATTACTAATTTGTACCATGGTGTGAGGATGAAGTTGCTATTAATGTTTCTTGACAAGTTGTTACTATTAAGAACTCAATTTTTATCTTTGTGGGTGCATTTGGTTATGACTTATTGGCTTTAGTGGTCAAAAAGTCCTTGAAATTAAAAGGTGGAAAATTCAGCAAAATTACCAATATGTACCTGTTTTCAAAAAATCAAGAAAAATCATCAGAAGTCATATTAATGATAATAAATTCTCAAAGTTTTCACTTTGAGTCTAGTTTTTCTGTGAATTTTTCCAGGACATGTTGTTGCCTCCAACTTTGGTGAAAATCGCTTGTTTCACCAGTCAAAAAGTCCTTGAAATTAAAAGGTGGAAAATTCAGCAAAATTACCAATATGTACCTGTTTTCAAAAAATCAAGAAAAATCATCAGAAGTCATATTAATGATCATAAATTCTCAAAGTTTTCACTTTGAGTTTAGTTTTTCTGTGAATTTTTCCAGGACATGTTGTTGCCTCCAACTTTGGTGAAAATCGCCTGTTTCACCAGCTGGTCAGAATACAGCTGTATTGATATGCAATTTTGTAAAATTCATAGAAAATTATAGAAAAATCAGTTGGGCATGTGTGAGTATTAATTTTAAAGCTAAAAGTATGAACTACCTAAATACGAAATAAAGTTCAAATTTTTATAGGTTTAGGTAGTGCTAAAGCGGCCTTGAATAGACCGTTGTTTCAGGTTAAAATCTGAGAATTTGACCTAATAACCAATTTGCATGTTTGGGTAGTAAATTGCCATAATTTGTTATTGTAAACTTTTAGTAATACACATGTTTGTGTTTAACTAGGGTAAGGTTTATTACCTCAAGTTATACAAGATTTGAAGTGTGGAAAGGCTGCTTGATTGACAAAGGTATGTCAATCATTGTGGTTGTTGAAGGTACTTGTTAAGGATTCCACATCTTAGAGGGATTGGAATGAACCTAGGTTGTTTAGGTTGCATGTACCCCAATTGTGATTGACATGTTGATACGAATCATTTTTCCTTCATGTTATTCTTTTTGTTTGCTATTTTTATGTGAGGGGTGTGATAGGTTCATGATAGAAAGACGGATTTGTGATGGTTGTGTGTGGTATGTGCATGTTATGTTTTTTTTGGAAATACTTCTCTATGTTGGTTAGGAGTAATGATGAAATTATGATATGTGCATGATTATACAAAGATGTAAAATGCCTTTACTTGATGCCTTGTTGCATGTTTACATATTGTGAAGTAGAGAAGTAATATGCCATCTAATATTAATAGAAATTGAGCATGATTATTTATGGAAGTTTGTAGTGTAATCCTTATGTGATGAATTAATAATATATTAATTAAAATGGGGAATATACTTAGTGGGGTGTAAATGGTAGCAACCTAGACTTAGGTGTGTACCCTATTTGGATACTTGTGAGGGACTTAAAGGTTGGAAGATACCTAAAGGGAAAGAGCTTAAGCCACTAGTGACGCCGAGTGGTGTTTCTAGACCACCAATCGGGACATGGTTCATGGAAACTAAAATTTTCAAGGACTAGAGTGATATTGGCGTAGTGATGGCGTTGGATCAAATATCACGATTGGGTGGGAAGTTCTAGTGATGGGAACAATGACATGTACTACTCTCGAATGACAACGTGCATAGTTGTATGTGCAACGTCGGAGTAGCGAACGGGTCTTACCTTCAGATTAGTGATGGACCTATCGGCAACAATGTTACGAGTGAGAGTCGCGCCTCACTTAGTACATTAGGTCGAGTTGGTCACATTAGTAGTGGACGAGCTTTTTACCTCTTGTGTTTGTGATGGACTCAGGGTTAGTGATGGAGCCATTGGGTTGGGGTTGAGCCGGTCACTTAGTTGTGAACGGGTTTTACCTTCAAGTTAGTGATGGACCTATGTCAGAGGTGTCTTCCTTATGGGTTAGTGATGGACTCATGTGTGGGGAATCTTGCTTGCTGCTTAATGATGGACCCAGGGCTAGGAATAAATATTAATTATAAAAGTTTAAAAGATAAATAATAACGGTAGACCCTAATGTTACTTTAGTGAAGAACATGCGATGTATGTGATGTATATGATGTGTGTAATGTATGTGGTGTATGTGTGGTATGTGATGCATGAGGTGTATGTGATGATATGTTATGTGTTTTTTCCTAACATTGTACTTACGGTTTCCTGACTTAGCATTTGTCGACACTTGTTTCTTTGCTTGTTGTTGCCTTTCATTGGTACAGGTAGCATACTTTAACAACATGGTGAGGATGGTGAATTTAGGTAGTTACATTCCATTTTATGACTTAGTATTGCTACCGTGTGGACATTTCATGGAGTTTTCTTAACACTTTTTTTGAGAACTTGTTTTTGATTGAGTTTATGAACTGTATTTTGATGAATGATGTTTTTGAAAATAAAAGTAACATCGGTGATGTTTCCTTTAAAATTTAAATAAGACTTCCGCTAACGTTTTCTTTTTAAATAAATGTTTTGAAAATAAAAAATATGGTGAAAAATCATAATGTTACAAGTTGCTATAAGAGCCATACTGTGAGTGAACTGAATACATAGGCCAATGTTCAGACTCACATTGTACACTGGCTCAATTTGGTGCTTTAGGATCTTATGGGGGTGGGGTGGGGGGATGGGGTAGGACATGTGTTGAGGGATATATGATAGTTATATGTAACTTCTTGAACTTTCCTTCCTGAAATTAGTGAATACCTGTAACTATTCATTATTTAGGAACATATCACATGCTGATGAGGATGATAACCTTGGGGGTACTGGTGAAGATCAGGACAACTGCACACTTGAGATGCCACCATTTATTTTTCAGACCCCACCTACTGGTCGTCAGCCGCGAGTTCAGCCAGCCCGTAGCGATCACAACACAACGAGTGCTGCTATCATTGCAGATCTTCAAGAACAACTTGAGACACGAGAGGCTGAGTTGAAGAGACATGATCGAGCCATGGAGAGGATGCAACAGCTTATGCAAGCCGCTAGTCTCCTAACCCCGGAGGATGAAGAGGTGGAAAATGAGGATCCACAAGAGGTGATAGATGAGAGTCGCTCAGTTACATGTGAGCGGAATAGGAGCCCATGAGAGATCATGATGAGGGTCATGGTAGTTCCTTCAAAGCATTCATGGACCGCAAACTCCCTGTCTTTTTAGGAGGTGATTACCCAACATTGTGCATGCAATGGTTGCGTATGATGAGGCAGATTTTCCATTCTAGCGACTTCACTAAGTCATAGAAAGTCAATTATGCAGTACTGAAGCTAGATGGTGAGGCTCTTCACTTATGGGAGGCGTTGGACTTTGTTTTTCCTGAGGCTACACTTGATGCCATGACTTGGGAAGCCTTCAACCACAGTCTTCAGGAGCGTTTTTGTCTTGTAGGAAAGATGAGGAATATTAAGTGGGAGTTCCTTTCATTGGAAAAACGAACATTGTCAGTTGCGAAATACAATTTGGTGTACTCAGATATGTTACAGTTCAAGGAAAATTACTGTCCTACTGAGGCAAAACAGGTGGAACATTATGTTGAGGGGTTACCGCCAGAGTATCGGGCTAATGAGAGGCAACGTAAAACTTTGGCGGCTGCCATGGACGAGGCTATTCAGATTGAAGTGGATATGGCTACACCAGGGCATGCTTTTACAAAGAGAAGGGAGAAGAAGAAGTGTGAGGGTTTGTCTAAATCCTCTCAGACAATGAAGGGTTACCATGAAAAAAATGGTGACATGTCGGGCTTGTATATGAGGTGTCCTTCCTCGCACAAGGGGTCGTGCAATGTTAGTACTATGATTTGAAGATGTTGTGGAAACTTGGGCCACAAGCAGTTAGAGTGTAAGAATACCGAGCCACTCTGCATTAATTGTCGACAGAAAGGGCACATGAGTGGGTAGTGCACAAATCCTAAAGTGTATCAAAGTGGCAATGGTAAGAAGACCGATGCACCAAAAGTGCAAGCGTGAGCATTCCGTATTTTCATCGAGGTGGTCAGACGTGATGATGAGGTACTCTCATAGATTTACATATAATTGTTTTGTTTCTGTGTAATTGTTTTTTGATGGTAGTAGTGGTAGATCATTTATATTTGCTACTTCCTATGCATGTTCTGGGTTAGTTCAAATTTTTTCTGAATGTTTGTGTTAGACATTGCGATAGCGGTAGAGAATCTTGTTCCTATGTTTGGGGAAATGTTCGATGAGTGTCCTATTGTGATGGTTAGAAACATTTTCCCTTTGAATTGGACTCTGACTGGGCTCAATTCGTGCAATGTTGTCTTGGATATGTTTTAGCTGTTTGCCTATCAAACTAAGATTCTCTACGCTAGAAGGATGTGCGAGTTTTGCATTTTGAGTGAGTGTATGTCTGTTTTGTGAGGAGAGAACTCTAGGGTTCATTTCCATCCTTTGTACTTTATGGATATCAAGTGTTAGGTTCCTTTGGGTCATGCAATGGAGAGATTAAGGTAATCAATAGTTGTCTTTTTGTGGAGGTGGTCAAGGAGTTTCAACGCTAGACCGTCGAAGGGTGACATTGATAGACTCTCACTGGATGAGCACTATTTTTTGAAAATCAAGGCAAGTAAAGAGTCAAGTGTCATGCTGATAAACAAGTGATGTGTCTACTAATTGATGCACATAATGGGAGATTTGGTAGATATCTTGGTTAGAGGGAGACCAAGAGGCAAGGGATGAATAAAGCCAAACTCATTAAGTTCCAATGGAAGGATGGGTGCAAGTCAGAAGTGACCTCGGTGGTTGGAGAATACCTTAATGTTCGTTACCCTAAGTTGTTTTTATCAGTTTCAGATTTCGAGGACTTAATCATTTTGAGGAGGGGAGAATTGTAATGACCCGAAAATCCTTCTGTTAATGTCTTCAGTTTTCCGTTACCCGAAGGAATGTTTATGTGAAAGATTTTAGGTTATGAGATTAAATTAGAATAAATTAAATAAAGAGATTAATTAAAATCTAAAAGAAGTAATTTATATTTAGTGGGTATATAATTTACTTAAATGGTTTTGTGGGAATTAAGGTAAATAGTTTTATTACATGGGTTTATGGAATTTTAGATTAAACATAATTTGTTTAATTAGTAAAAGATATTGAGGGGCTAAATTATCGTATAAAAAGAACACTTTACATGTTATATTATTAGGGGTAGGGGTGTTTGGGATTTACCAATAATACTTAAGGGACTAATTGCTAAAAATCAATGATAACTCCCAAAGATCAATTGACGTATCAATATTTTATAACAAAATTCTTCCGTTTATTTGGTATATGTGTGCGATTTAGGAGTGCATCCCAATCAATTGTATGTGTTGTTTCTTTCTAGTGAGCATCAGTTAAAAACACCAATCAAGATGTGCTCGTTGATTGCAAAGAGGGAGCAGGAGGAAAGAAAAAAATCCATTTGATTCTTTCCCCTGATTTTATACGTGTGACTAAGAAAATGATTCCAACAGCTTTGGGCGTATGGCTGTAATTGACAATCACTAGGAAGGAGAAGAAAAAATGTGAAGAGGAAGGAGGAGGACTGATGACGAGGCTATAAAGTGAGAGGGGTTGACGGGTTTGTGTTGGAGAGTTCAATTGAGCTCGAAAATTTGTCAACAATCTTGGTAACTTCTTAATTCTTCATTCCTCATGTAATTCTACTTCAATTTCTAATGTGTTAGTTGAAATCTTGGGTCAATTGCCTTCTCTTTGGTGTAATTGATCTCACCTTCTTTCTCCTTACAATCTTTGAATGTTCATATGTTTAATTCTAATTCTGTTGGATGTCTTTTTATGGTTTATGATTGTCAAAACTTGGTTATGAACAACCTCAAGAATTCTTAGTTCATGTTAATGTATTATTCCATGTTTTGGAGACCTTGTTTTCTTTGTTGATTACTAATTTGAACCATGGTGTTAGGATGAAATTACTATTAAAGTTTCTTGACAAGTTGCTACTGTTAAGAACACAATTTTTTTCTTTTTTGGTGATTTTGGTTATGACTTGTTCGAGTCGTAATTTTAAATCTAAAAGTATGAGTTGCCTAAATACAGAATAAAGTTGAAATTTTATAGGTTTAGGTGGTGCTAAAGTGGCCTTGAACAGACTGCTGTTTCAAGTTAAAATATGAGACCTTGACCTAATAACCAATTTGTATGTTTGGGTAGTAAATTGCCATAATTTGTTCATGTAAACTTATAGTAATACATATATTTTTGTTTAACTAGGGTAAGGTTTATTACCTCAAGTTATACAAGATTTGAAGTGTGGAAATGGTGCTTGTTTTACAAAGGTGAGTCAATCTTTGTGATTGTTTAAAATACTTGTTAGGGATTCCACATCTTAGAGGGATTGGAATGAACCTAGGTTGTTTAGGTTACATGTACCCCAATTGTGAATGATATGTTGATATAAATTCATGTTATTCTTTTTGTTTGTATTTTGATCTGAGGGGTGTGATAGGTTCATGATAGAAAGACGAATTTGTGATGGTTGTGTGTAGTATGTGCATGTTATGTTTTTCTGTAAATACTTGTCTATGTCAGATAGGAAAATGCATGCCAGTTATATAATATGCCTTAATGATGAAATTATGATACGTGCAAGACTGTATAAAGATGTAAAATGCCTTTACTTGATGTCTTGTTGCATGTTTACATATTGTTAAGTAGGGAAGTAATATACCGTTTAATATTAATAAAAAATGAGCATGATTAGTAAGGGATGTTTGTAGTGTAATAATTATGTGATGACTTAATAATACATTAATTAAAAAGGGGAATACACTTAGTGGGGTTAAAGGTTAGCAACGTAGACTTAGGTATATATCCTATCCGAATACTTGTGAGGGCCTTAGAGGTTGGAAAATACCTAAACAGAAAGAGCTTAAGCCACTAGTGACGCTGAGTGGTTTTTCTAGACCACCACTCAGGACATGGTTCATGGAAACTAAATTGTTCAAGGACTAGAGTGATATTGGAGTAGTGATGGCGTTGGATCAAATATCACATTTGGGTGGGAAGTTCTAGTGATGGGAACAATGAAAAGTACCACTCTCAAATTACAACGTGCATACCTCTATGTGAAACGTCAAAGCATCAAACACATAAAATTGGGAGCAATGTTACGAGTGAGAGTCGCACCTCACATAGTGGATTGGGTTGAATCGGTCACGTTAGTAGTGGATGAGATTTTTACCTCTTGGGTTAGAGATGGAACGAGGGTTAGTGATGGAACCATTGGGGTAGGGTTGAGCTGGTCACTTAGTAGTGAAGGGGTTTACCTTCAGGTTAATGATGAACCTACATGCAAGGTGTCTTCCTTACGGGTTAGTGATGAACCCATGTGAGGGGAATATTCCTTGCGGGTTAGTGATGGAACCAGGGCTAGGAATAGTTATTAGTTATAAAAAATAAAAGATAAATAATAACGGTAGAGCCTAATGTTACTGTAGTTAAGAACATACGATGTATGTGATGTATATGATGTATGTGATGTGTGTGGTGTATGTATGGTATGTGATGCATGAGATGTATGTGATGATATGCTATGTGTGTTTTCCTAACGCTGTACTTATGGTTGACTCACTTAGCATTTGTTGACACTTGTTTCTTTGCTTGTTTTTGCCTTGCATTGGTATAGGTGGCATAGTTTGATGACTTGGTGAGTATAGGGAATTTGGGTAGTTACATTCCAGTTTATGACTTAGTATTGATACCATTTGGACATGTCATGGAGTTTTCTTAACACTTGTTTTTATTTAGTTTATGAATTATATTTTTTTTGAATGATGTTTTTGAAAACTAACGTAACATTGGTGATGTTTCCTTTAAATTTAAACCAGACTTCCGTTAACATATTCTGTTAAATAACTGTTTTGAAAAAAAAATGTTGAAAAATCACGATGTTACCAGACAAGTCTTGATAGTATATTCATCATGGGTGCGTGGGTTATATGGATTATGTGGTGGTGGATACTCATATTGGGGATCAAGTTTCAATTTCAAAGGTCCCGTTTGTCAGGGATGTTGCTGATGCGTTTCCGGAGGAATTACCCGGTGTGCCTCCTGATAGGCAGATCGAGTTCAGGATTGACCTTGTGTCAGGTGTGGCCACGATTGCCAAGGCGCCAGGCCACTTAGCACTGCCAGAGATGTATGATTTTTCATCTCAGATGCAGGAGCTACTAGGCAAGAAGTTCATCAGACCGAGCAGTTCTCCGTGGGGAGTGTCAATTTTATTCGTCAAAGAGAAGGATGGTTCACACCAGATGTGCATTGATTATCGGGATTTGAACAAGTTAATGATGAAGAACTATTATCCCCTTTCGCAGATAGATGACCTATTTTATCAGTTGCAGGGTGCATCTTGGTTCTCCAAGATAGATCTGAGGTCTGAGTTTCATCAGGTCAGAGTGAGAGAGGAGGATGTGGAGCAGACTGCGTTCCAGACTCGTTATGGACATTATGAGTTTGTGGTGATGTCATTTGGCCTTAATAATGCACCAACAATATTCATGGATTTGGTGAACCGAGTATGCGGGCTGATTCTCGATCGTTCTGTTATTGTGTTCATTGATGATATCTTGGTGCATTCCAAGACTAGAGAGCAACATGAGGAGCATCTTTGCGAGCTTCTGGGAGTTTTGAGGTGATAAAGACTTTATGCTAAGTTTGGGAAGTGTTAGTTTTGGTTACGAGAGGTGCAGTTCCTTGGACACCTTCTTAACCAGGATGGGATATTGGTCAATTCAGCCAAGATCGAGGTTGTGATGCAGTGGGAGGTTCCGAAATCTCCCTCA